ATTTTATTTTATAATAGCAGGGTTTTGCAAAGTTTTACAACGGAATTAGTTAGGGTGCCTGTTAAAAAATACATGCCCCAAGGCATTTGTGAGCCTCTTCGAAGAGGGGAAGACAGGTCTGCTCCGTTTACAAACTAGTGATTCTAAAGGACACCAAAACTTGAGATTGAGTATAATATGGAAAATCCTTCAAGATAAACCAATGTAAGCCATGAAGCTTTTAGTTGAGGAAGTGAAAGTGAAGTCGCTCAGTCGTGTCCGACCCTTTGGGACCCCATGGGCTGTACCAGGCTTCTCTGTCCACGGGATTTTCCAGGCAAGAGTACCAGAGTGGGTTGCCATTTCCTTCTCCAGAGGATCTTCCCAACACAGATTGAACCCGGGTCTCCCGCATTTGCAGGCAGCTGCTTTACCCTCTGAGCCACCAGGGAAGCCCTACTTGAGGAAGATTTTCATTTAGTACATTTAATACAACTGCTTTGGTGTAATAGGCACTTCTTTGTGAGGACAGGCTTAGATCTCCCACCCCTCAAGAGCCATTGAATACCGCAAAATGGCAGACATTACGGGTTCATCTGCGGTTAGTGCATAATCTTATCTCTGAGGATCTGGGAACACAAGCACGATAACCTCATCATTGTCTCCTGTGCTTTCATTGACTTTTCTTGTTTTTCTGTTTTAATAAAGTTTCAGTTCCCTAAAGGTGAAGCATCCCATTCAAGCTTCATTTGTAAGCAATCCTTCTTAATTTCATTATATCTATTAAAGAGTGTGGTGGTTAGTGACAGTATGATAATGAATATTAACACTGGATTAACCCTTGGTTTTCAATATAAAAAATATTGATTTGGGGATTCAGGAAATATCAATTATGCTTTCAACCCTTGAACTTCTGACCTTTGGGTATTTTTAGGAACAAATTACTCTTTCAAGGTAAGGATGAAGGTAATTTTGTCAGTTACTTCAATTGTTCCACTACAGTGTTGGAAGCAGCTAATTTAATTACTTCACTTTATTTTGACTCAGAAATATGACACAAGTCTCAAGGGTGCCACTAAAGTAATAGTGCTGCTAACCATATTGCACAATGTGACCCACCACTACATTATTTAGTTGCATCTCCAAATTATAAAAAGCATGGTGTGTCATTACAGTTGAGAAGAGGCAGGCAGAAGTGAGGGGAAGCAGCTTGTCTCCAGTAGGAATGACAACCAACCAAGAAAGATTATTATGCATCAATCACAAAATTAAATTCTAGTCATATGCTTCATCTGTTACTCATACTAGTCTTATGAGTTAAGTATTATACCTATTTTACACACAAGGAAATGGAGGCACAGAACAGTAAAGCAGACAAATTATGTAGCTCATGAAGAACAGAGATTATGAATAAATATTCAACTTTTTTTTAAACACAACTTTTTAATCCAAAGATCTACAATGTTCCTTAGATGTTATCATCCTCAAAATTATGCTTGGGTAACCTATTTTCCAAAACCAGGAATTTACTGACTAGACCGTAGTCATGATAAATGCAGTGATACAAATGATAACATATGATATTTGGCTTAAGAAGAAAATAAATGCTGCATTTTCTCTCTGGGGTTTTCAACTTGCAATTGACAAAGGATATAATTATATATAACTGTAGGAAGCTGCAGCAACATACCCAGTTTGAGGAGAAAATATGTATTTACTTCCAAAGTAGAAAATGAAGCCATAGCAATTTCTTTGCTTACTCGAGCAACATTTATAAGACACCTACAATTTGCCCAGTGCTGAAAAAGGAAGTAGGAATATAAACATGAACAAAATGCTATGGAATAGAGGTAAATAAATAATAGTGACTCCCCCGAAGGACAGTGGAGAAAGGAGAGATTTTAATAAAACAGAAGATACTGTTTTCTAGTTTGTAAATAGTCAATTCTCTGCTGTCTTCATGAAGAAAAGTGAACTGCTCTTCTCTGAATGTCAGAAAGTGGAAGTGGAAGAACCCCTCTCACTGGAAGGCCTGCACTCTGGTCTCACAAATCCTGAATCTACCGACTATGCCCATCAGATATCTTGTTGGGCAGATGCTAAAGTAAGTGTAGAAGGGTTCCTGAAGCAGTTCATCTCCCAGGTGGAGAAAATGGGTTGTAAAAGTTCCAAGCCTTTCCCCCTTTAGCTGCTTATGGAGAAAGAGAAGTCTTTCGCATGAGAAGTTGAGTTAGACGGCCTGACAGGGGCCACTCTGTCTGGCGCTCCAGGAACACGAGGCGGAAGTCCTTTCTTCAGGTATTCTAATTCCAGCTAAACCTTCACAACAGATTGTGGGAAATGGTACAGAAAGTCCAGAAAGGCCAGGGGATGGGCGAACCAGGCAAGGTGTTTTTCTGGCCTTCTTTCCACTTCCAACCGGACTTCCCAGAGTCCCTCCCACGGGCGCACAGCGCTCTCTGTGGGCTCAACATCCTTAGAGGAGTGCCCCGCGCATGCAGGCTCTCGTCCATCTGCCTCTGTCCTAGCCCGTCTTTCTAGCTCCCATCTCCCCTCTCCCCCACCACAGCACATACTCCAATTTCAGACACACAGAACTTCTTACCCACTAGAATGTTCCCTTCGATCATAGTTTATGACCCAAAGGAAAATCTTCCTGGTCTATTGCTCCTTCCCCAACTCCAAGGTCTGCCCTGGTGGCTCAGATGATAAAGAATCTGTCTGCAGTGCAGGAGACCAGGGTTGGAAAGATCCCCCGGACAAGAGGATGGCAACCCATTCTGTTATTCTTGCCTGGAGAACGCCATGGACAGAAGAATCTGACGGACGACAGTTCATGGGGTCTCGAAGAGTCTGACATGACTGAACGACTAATGCACAATGCCCCCCAGAGTTCCTGAGCAGAAAAATTAGTTGCTTCCTCTTGGGTGTTCCTACAGTTCTCTACCACAAACAAGGCACTTCTCATGTTGCATTATTATAAATGTTCATTTTTATGGCCAGATTTTAAGTCTTGTAAATAGAGGGACTCTCATTTTTCCCTCTTCATATTCCCAGCACTTAGCATAGTTCTAGGGCACATGGTAAGCCCCAACAAGTGTTTGCTGAATGATTGAATTGACAGGGTCACACTCCTCCCACCCCCCACCCCTGAATCATACTTGTGTATTTGTTCCTTATCCTCCTGCTTTAACATACATCCTCACCAATAACACAGCACAATTAGCCTGTGAGGAAAAGGGAGAAATCTTAGAATGATTTCCAAATGAAATGTGGTACCTCTCTAGAGTCTATGTCTTGGTGACTCTGCAAGAACAAACTTCTAAGGTTTTTGTTTATTAGACAGTTTAATAAAACAAGCCATCTCCCAGGCTTTCTGGAGACAGCCCCAGAAAGGTGGGGAGATATCCCCACCCTCCCATTCTAAGAAGAAATAATGTATTACCACACTATCTTCTCCATCTTTCTCTTTTTCATTTATTCATTTCACACAAGTATTTATTGAACCCTTACTACATACTAGGTAGTGTTCTAGGATCCGGGGATATAGTGAGTGAGTGAGTGAGTGAGTGAGTGAGTGAAGTTGCTCAGTTGTGGCCGACTCTTTGCGACTCCATGGACGGCAGCCTCCCAGACTCCTCCATCCATGGGATTTTCCAGGCAAGAATACTGGAGTGGGTTGCCATTTCCTTCTCCAGGAGATCTTCCTGACCCAGGGATTGAACCCAGGTCTCCCACACTATAGGCAGACGCTTTACCTTCTGAGCCACCAGGGAAGGGGATATAGTAGTGAACCATAATTCTTCACTGATCTTTTGATCTTTTTATCCTAGTGGCAGAAAGAGACTGATTAATATATAGGATAAATGAGTTAAATATATACTATACATGGTCACGATAAGTCTTAAGGAGAGAAAGATAAAAGAGGGAAAAGAGACCAAAGTGTAAGGGAGTTAACATTTTAGACAGTGTAGTCAAAGGAAGCCTTCCTGACATTTGAGTAAATTTCTGAAGGAAGCTGAGGAGCAGGTCATGAAGATACCCAGGAGAAGAGCATTCCAGGCAGAGGGAACCACAGGGCAAAGGTCCTGAGGGGGGGATGTGTCTGGTATGTTCAAGAATCAGCCAAGAGCTACTGTGGCAAGATTAGAGTGAGCCAAGGAAGGCATGTGGGAGAGGAAGTCAGGGAGGTAAAGGTGATCAGAGGAGGCCATGGAACTGAGAACCAAGGATTCAGAAGGACCAGATGTGTGGACGTTGAATTCAGTAAGAGTTATGCCAGTAGTATTAGGTAACGTCAGGAGCTAACGTGGTTAAGAAACCAGGGGAGGGACATCCCTGGTGGTCTAGTGGTTAAGAATCTGCCTGCCAATTAGAGGACATGGGTTCGATCCCTGGTCTGGGACATGCTTCAGGTCAACTAAGCTTGTGTGCCACTGCTTAATCCTGTGCCCCTTGGAGTCCACGAACCACAACTAGAGAAAGCCGGTGCACAGCACTGAAGACCCAGCATGGCCATTAAAAAATAAAATGAATTACATAAATAAAGTCAACTTCTCTTACTTCCTTTCATCATTCTTTCCCTGTTTTCAGTTTTTTTTTAATTATTTTATCTTTTCCTCTCTACCTTTCTTATATCTTTATTCATAACTTTGGTTTATCCTACATTTTGCTGTTTTATTTTTTAAAAAACTTTTTATTGGAATAGAGTTGATTTACAATCTTTTTTTTTTTATTAGTGGTAATTTTCTCTTTAAATTTCCTTCCTGTGCTATCATTCTTTATGCCTCTCAGTCATCCTTCTATATTCTTGTAAACTTTCCTTTGGATATGGGTCATCTTTTCTCAAGGTTTTCTCTTTTCTTATTTATTTTCAGTCCTTCTCTCTAGGAAGGATGCATGTGGTTGTTCGTTCTAAGGAAGCTTTAAAGCCTCTGAAATTACACCTGGGAATATGCTGCCAGTTGAGAATTGCTTAGTGGTCTTACCTCCTTAGCGTATAAAAATGACTCTTCCCTCACCTGTACTCTGACGGGTTCCATCCAGTGTTCCAGGGTGTCAGCAGTGACGTTCTCAGGAAGGATTACAGGATCACTAGGGGGGACGACACACGATGGGGAACACACTGCACCTGAAGGAACAGAAATTTACAATAGACACTTGAACTTCGTGCATCTCAGTCTTTCACATCTTGGCATCATTAGCTTTGTTTTTCAAAAACAATTGTTTTCTACATGGTGTTGTTGTTGTTCAGTTGCTAAGTCATGTCTGACTCTTTGCAACGCCATGGACTGCAGTACACCAGGCTTCCCTGTCCTCCACTGTCTCCCGGAAGTCTGCTCAAATTCATGTCCATAGAGTCCGTCATTCTATATTGTAGATCACCTCATTACCATGGTCACAGGCAAGGCTGATATTGACTATGCACCTGTAGGGATGCTCCTACACTCACCAGTAAAGAATCACAGCACCAAGTTAACTCCCCGGCCCCAAGTGTTCTTCCCCTTTCTGGTCACATATACCCCTTCCTCTAGAATCCCTGAATCTCTGTATGACCCAGCAATAAAATATTTAATTCCTGCTCTGCAAACCTCTGAGACCCCACTCCAGGACTCTGGCCAGGTAAGGTCTATACTGATTTGTTGATGCCTCTTAAGTATTTTTAATAGCATTTCTCCTTATATGAGTTCCTGAAGCTGATAATTGCAGGATCTATTATCTAAAAACTTTACTAACTGGGGAAAAAATGGCCCAGAAATCGTGAAGGTGGATTTATAATGCCTGCAACACTGAATATCATTACTCTGGTAACCAATAAACCTATTGATTAAAAGAGGAAATGAGGAGAAATCAAAAGCAGAGATTTTGGTCCTGTGGTAGCCTTTCAAAGGAAAATCCTACTCTCTTTCTTTGTACATGAAGTCTGAGTATCTCCTAAAATTCTATTCAAAGAAGGCAGACTCTCAAGGTTCTCTATTACCTCGTCTAAAGATTTGATGATCTCCAAGTTTATTTTCAGCTTAATCTCTATTCCTGTTTTACACTGACTTGTATAACTCAAAGAATTACATGACTCTTAAGGACTCTACACATGTGAGTGTATGATACATTAATGTAGAAATTAGAGGGTGGGGATATAAGAATTTTCTCATGAGGCACCACACGAGAAGCACAGTCTCAGCATCCTATTACTCTTTGTCTGGCCACAAGATTTCTCAGTGCAAACAGCAAATTGAAGATGGTAAAGAACAGTCTCAGAAACTAACAAGCTTTCTCATTAACTCAAGTTTTATCTACTGGCATTACACATGTTAGAATGACTTGGAAAATTTCTCCTTGCTCATGCAATTAAGAACTTAGGGTTAGTCTCAACAGTTTTGTCACAAACAGGATCTCTTTTCTTTGATGCTTAAGTTTAGACAGAGTCAATTTGAGTTAATTTCACTTTAAATTATCCCTGGCCACAGAGACTTTTAACTTCACTTGCTTCATAATTCAAAGACATATACGCCCCAATGTTCAGTACAGCACTATTTACGATAGACAGGACATGGAAGCAACCTAAATATCTATCAACAGATGAATGGATAAAGAAGATGTAGCACGTATATACAATGGAACATTATTTAGCTATAGAAAGGAAAGAAGTTGAGTCATTTGTAGAGACATGGATTGACCTAGAGATTGTCATACAGAGTGAAGTAAGTCAGAAAGAGAAAAACAAATATTGTATATTAATACATATATATGGAATCTAGAAAAATGGCACAGATGAACCTATTTGCAGGGCAGGAATAGAGACACGGACATAGAGAATATACATGTGGACACAAGGGGCAAATGAAGGGTGGGAAGAATTGAGAGGGGACATTGACATTTATACACCACCATGTGTAAAATAGATAGCTAGTGGGAACCTGTTGTATAACAGAGGGAATTCAGCTTGGTGCTCTGTGATGACCTAGAGGGATGGGAAGGGCGGTGGGAGGAGGTCCAAGAGGGGGGAATATATGCATACATATAGCTTATTCACTTCATTGTGCAGCAGAAACTAACGCATTGTAAAGCAACTATACCCCAATTAAAAAAAGAAAAGTTGTCCCTAGGTTCTGGAGCCAGGTTCACCATAGAGAAAGAATGGCTGCTGATCCAGGCAAGCAAAGGCAATCTCAAATTGCTTCTTTTGGGAACTCTCTGCTCAAGTTACAGCAGCAGAGAGAATGAAGCAGGTGCCCAGTGTGTGTGTGGTATGTGGCTACACATTCCCACCTTCCCTCCTGGAACTACAGCTCCTACCAAAAATCAATCCATTTTCAGGCTACACTGGGTAACATGAACAAACACTACACAAATCGCTCAGTAGCACCACCAACATTACACACGTGTGGAGGAGTGAAAAAAAATTGTCATAAATTTCATTTTAACTGAAGTAGCTAAAAGTCAACTTGAATTTCTATCCATTCCTTGGGCAGAATGATGGATTTGATCCAGCCAGGCCTAATAGAAGGATTACTTGGGAGCAGAAGTCAGCATCTCTTCCCAAACATACCAATCCCATATCCTTGTTCACACTTGTACTCCACAAAATTCAGCTCCGAGGTGGGTGGTGGGCATTCCCCTTGCAGGTTCTCACATAACTTGAACTCCTCAGTCCACAGTCCCTCCTTTGTGCAGAGGATGGGAAGCTAGAATATCAAAAGTTGAAAACATGGATATTATAGTTTTGCTAACTTCTTTTATAGTGTGGACAAAAGTGGTCTGCTTAAATGGTAGCATTCTCCAATTGGAGAACCTGGATTAAAAGACACTGTTGAGATAATAAACTATGTTGCTATTGACTTTTACCCAAAAAAGTCAAGACAAGTTTTTGCTGTTTTGATGTGAAGGAATCATGAATAATTTTGTCATTAGAAAATCATTAACAGTGTGTTTCCCTTTGGATATAAGGATACAGTAAGCTACCAAATGTGACCCATGTATTCTGAGATAGCTTTGGGAAATTTTTTTCCCAGATGGTGTTGTTTTTGCATTGATCCATTCATACTCTCCCACAAATGCTGCTTGTGACAAACATCAGATTTTTTGCAAGATGAGTTTGAGCCAGTGGGACTAATTCATAATTTTTCTGAAGGTGCTTTTTGCTTTTCTGTCTGCTTAAATGGACACGTCATAGCTGCTTTTTGTCTCATCAAAGTTCTATTCCCTTTCTCTACATGTTTGCTCATTTGTGTAACTCTTGGTTTCATGTCTCCAGTAATCACCAAGTATCTTATATGCAGAAACATAGAGAATAGCACTAATTCACAAAGCCCAAGAAAATAAGATTTTGGAATTACAGATAACTCTCCCTTCACCCTGCCAACTCCTTGAGCCCTTAAACAATTAGTGCAGGCAGGTGTGCTTGATTTCCCAGGGGACTCATTTCATGGAGTAGTCTTTTCACATGTGTCCTGTAGTCTTTATCTTGGAGTACTGAACACTGAAATAAAGGCATGTGCCAGGAGAGAAGGTAAGGTCATTGATCTTTGCTTAGGAAGTCTGCTTAACTTCCTGTCTCGGGTTTGTGTAGGGTACTTGAAAAGCTTCTAAAATAAAATTGATTTTAGTCGCGTAACCACGATAAGACTGTGGTTTTTGTTTGAGACCTCTTGCGCCAAAATCCTAGGGAGAACAACAGTCCAACAGTGCTTTCAACTTTGCCTTTGCTGAGGAATTTGTATTTCTGTGCAAGACTGTTTTCTATTAAAAAGTATGATACCAGCATTTCTAGCCAAGTTAGTTTGGGGGAAATCACACTGCCAAATCAGAATCTGAGCCTTTTTGCAGTTTACCCAGGTATCTAACCCATCAGGTTGTTCTTCTTATCCAAGAGGAGAGAATATTCCAAGAACGTAGTATCTTCTGAATTCCCTATTAAATGATATCAACATCTCTGGTTAGAATCCCAACTTAGGCCCTGCCCGTTGCCATTCATTTAGATAATTTTATTCAACATTCTTGGATTGGTCACCAAGATTGGAGCACAGCCTGATCGAAAATACAAGTTCAAGTCATCCTTACCCTTTTACTTTCCTGGTTACAGTTGAGCAAACACTGGCTGTCGAGCTCAAAGCCATTGGTGCATTCATACATGCCTTCAAAGACAGGGGAGGGGGGCTCACACACCACTGGGACGCAGCTGCCTTGCTCCCAGATTCCACCCTCCAGGCACTGGATCTTCAGGGACTTGCTGATAAGACAAAACAAAAGAGTCCATCAGAATCCTCAAGGAGGTTATGGGAGAAGTCTGGACCCTCAGCAACACGGGACAGGGATTAGCCAATAGACAGGAGCAGTCGGTACTTGTTAGCCCAGTGTCTTACCTCTTCATCCTAATTTCTAAGCCATGGAAGGAAAAACAGTAATAATGCACTTACGGCAGTGATTGCATTAGCTATTGTCTAGTAATATTGGTATATTCTTCTCCAGAGACTTTGTTAACTATCTGTGCAGTGTCTAGATTTTGCAGTTGGGTTTTCTCTAAGGTTGTCATCTTGGAGCAGTCTCACACTTCAGTGCACTGGGAAATACCAGGTAGGATGGCGTACAGCAAAGGTTATCACACACTCAGGGGACTACCCAGAAATCACCTAAGGATCATCAGTGTTAATATGGTAATGGAATCAATGAAGCTGCCAATATTTATTGATTCTCCAGAGAGGAGAGAAGATACAGCAGCAGGGGTCTTCTTAAAACAGAAGCTCTTACCCTGAATTTCATAAGGGCAAGAGTATTGCTGGAAATGACTATGGCCATTTTGTTTGCTGACAAGTCCATTTTTTTTTTTTTCTTGGAAAGCGTTCATAGCTTTCATCAGATTCTCAAAGTAGACATGACTCAATACTGCCCTGGAATAATTGCCCTTCCTTCCCATGCAGAGATACGGCCTCTATCCAAAGTAACTGCATTTGAGGTAGTCGATAGTCAGTAGGATTAGGTCTTACCATTTCGAACTCCATCCCATTTCCCTTCTAACTCATTGCCAAACTGAACGTGCTTTCCATCTGCTATTCTAATGCATCCAGTTCTGATTCAGAACATTCCCAGTCAGATAATCTTGTGATTCTAAAATAGAAATAATCCTTTGTCCATTGATTCAAGGGCTTCCCTGGTAGCTCAGTGGTAAAGAACCTGCCTGCCAAAGCAGGAGAAGCAGGTTCAATCCCTGGGTCAGGAAGATTCCATGGAGGAGGAAATGGCAACCCACTCCAGTATTCTTGCCTGGGAAATCGCATGGACAGAGGAGCCTGGCCAGCTACAGTCCATGAGGTTACAGAGTCGGACACGCCTTAGCGACTAAACAACAACAACAACCAGTGATTCAGTCACATGATGGCCTTGAATTGTTATTTTCCAGTATCATGAAGCCCTTTTAAAATTTAAATATGGCCCTCACCCACACACTTTTAATGGACTTCTGTACAATGCCTCCTGCATGCTTTGCCAGTATTCTAATATTATACTAGTATAACATTTATCAAATTATTTTATAAATGTGTATATGTTTGTCTTTCCCACTAGGTTGGAAGGTGCCTGAAGGCAAGGATTGTGTTTTATTCCTAATTTCAATTCCTAAGAACAACAACAAAAAAATCTGTCTTATATTAGGCATTAATGAAATATTTACCAAACTGAATTATTTAACCAAAACTCACAGTGCATTAAGCATATCGCAGAGCATGCTAAATATTTTAGTAAACCAAATCACCAGGATATCCCTACTGAAGTAGTATTATCATTCCCATTTCATAGATAAAGAAACTACTCTGAGATGTTCAGTAATTTCACCAAGATCCTACAGCCCAGAATGCAGTTGATTTTGAGTAATTTAAATAAATTTTAATAGTTTAACATTATAAATTTTAATAGTTAAACATTATACATTTTAATAGTTTAACATTATACATTTTAGCAGTTTAATAGGCTTCTCTTGTAGCTCAATCAGTAAAGAATCCACCTGCAATTTAGGAGACCCGGGTTCAATTCCTGGGTCTGGAAGATCATCTGGAGAAGGAAATGGTAACCCTCCAGTATTCTTGCCTGGAAAATCCCATGAACAGAGGAGCCTAGCGTGCTACAGTTCATGGGGTCACAAGAGTCGAACATGACTTAGCTACTAAACCACCACAATAGTTAAACATATTTTAACAATATCCAGTTAGATATTCATGAAGGAGTGCTTGATTTATGGTTAAACAGTTATTTAGATTCATATTCATACCTTCGTCCTCAGTAGTTTTCTAGGAAAGAAGCCTGATTTTATGACTGGAATTCTTTAGCATCATAGTTTATGTGGACATATATCTAGTATCTGTCAATAATAAATATTATTTTTGAGCTATATTTCAGGTGTTTGGCAAAATACCTACACATTATTTCACCGAAATGACCAAATAGTGGTTAAAGGTAAATATAATTATCCACATTTCGGAGAAGAAAACTGAGCCTGAGAGATTTAAAGCTAGCTCAAAGATCCACAGTTAAAGCTGCAGACAGGACTTGGACCCAGGTCAGCCTGCCACTGAATCCTGTGGTCCTTCCTGGTTCAGGTTCCACTGCATGTTATGCTCTATAATCCACTTTGAGTATCCATAACATCTCTTTCCTACTGAACAGTCCTTTATTCGGATGCCACATTTGTAAGTGTGACCAAAAAAGAAAGAAAAGAAGAAGATTCATTTGAAATTTTTGCATTGAGCAATAAATTACATATAGAAAACTGCATGACTCAGTATACAGCTCAAGAAATTTTTACATGTGAATAACCTGGGTACTCATCATTCAGATAAAGACACAGAGAATTTCCAGTCCCCCTAAAAATCTCCCTTCCCAACTGAATACCCCGGCAACCCATACTCTTCTGACTTTCATCAGCATGGATTTATTTTGCCTGTTCTTGAACTTGATATAAATGAAATCATGCACTATATGGCTTCTTTCCCCAAAGGAAGATGACATTTTCAAAATGCTTTCTCAAATCTATCTTCAAGGAAGTGTAGGCAGTCCTTTTTACTATAATGAAGCTTGTGTTTGTCTCTCTCCAAGCCTGGATATTCGACTCCTTTTTCACACTACAGAGTTTATATCCTCCCAGAGACTCTCTTCTTTCTACCACGTCCCACAGATGAAATCCGCCCCCCACCTCGGCTGAACTGACATCCCCCGGCTGCAGGGAGCAGGCAATACCACTGACACCAGGGGAGAGGCAAGGCTCTAAAACTTGCATGTCAGCATGGTTATAAAGGAAAACCCTTGCTTGGCCAGGACGACAATATTTTGACTTCATGTGGTATTTTTCTCTGAATTGGTTGGAACACTTCAACCATGGAAACAGTCCTGCCTTTCCTTGCCCGGAGTGAAGAGCCATTCAAGAATGTCGATTTCATATATCTCTTTGCCAGTTTAATAACCTCAGAGGTGAGGGTAGACAGATCGAACTTGGCTGGGGAAGAGTGAGTTGGATGTTGTGGGTGGTACCCAGGCAACGTGACAGGGCCTGTGCTGCAAACCACCAGTCATATCGGTGATGAAGGAGGAAGAAGGCTGCGAGGTGGTCGGAAGCAGCACAGTTCACACTGGTGCCCCAGAGGAGGCACTACAGGCAGGACAAGGGTCAGACTGGGAGAGTCCTGATTCCCTAGGAGACATCTTTTCCTTCTTGTAAGAGTTCCTATGCCCCCTCAACCTCAAGGATTCTCCTCACAGTTTCACCTCCCTTATACAGGGGCTGGCTTCTTCATGTCACTCAACCAGATGACACAACCCAGGCTCCGCCCACAGGCTTCTCACAAAGCATTTGATTGGTCCATTCTTCACAGCCCCGGCTGTCTCACAGCTCCACGGTGCCTATCTATACGGGCTTATGACATGAGAGGCCCTGGTTTGGCGGTTGACACTTGAGTGCCATGGGCTGGTTCTTTTCATTTTGTTCGAAGAGGTACTGTGATTGCAGGAGGAATTCAGGGCGTCTTGTATTTCTCCCAGCTTCAGAAAATTTTATTTCTATGTAGGTCCCTGAAGAGGACTAAAGCCTTTATAGCAAAGGCAGACCTTTAATCCCGAGTGATACCCAAACTGTCTTTGTGTTTCTTCCAGTTTGGTGACCTTTAGGAGTAATCTCTGACACTTATAAAATCATTATGAAAACATTGGTTTTTTTCAGAATGGTCCACCTCCTTTGTATAATGTGTATGAATTTAAAAAAGAGAGAGAGATTTCTTAAGTCATAAAGTGAATCAGGTTGCATTTCAAAGAAGGATATTAGACAAAGCACGCAGGCAGGTCCTCACCAGAACAGATTCCAAGACTTTTTTTTTGATAATCTAGTGCAAGTGCCTTTCAACTGAGATATTCTACTGACTCAAAGCTCTCTGTATTTTCTTTATGCCGATGGAGTAAGAGAGGCTAAAACATCTCATTTTACCAGGCAGGAAACTGCACATTAATAACTATGAGGTGACTTGCTCAATGGCACACAGCAAGCTAGTCACTGGCAAAAGCAAGGATAGAATTTAGAGTTTTGCAATCATAACGTAACACCCCAACCATTAGAACAATGATTTCCAAATTATATTTGTAGACCAGCCCATGAAACTCATGTAGGAACTGTATAAAAACTAGATTGTCTAGGTTTCATGGAATTGGCCTCATACTATTTTTTATTTTGTCAGCAGTATAATATGTAGTTAGGTTGGCAAACTACTAAAATCTATGCTACTTTCCTATGCTAGTAAAAATAAACCATAGGTATAGAAATCAGAGGGCAAAATCACCCACCTAACAACACCGGCCAAAAGACTGGCCGGTGCCAGTCTTAGCAAACACCAAACAGGACAGTTACAGCCAGACAACTTACTCTGTAAATGGTACCATGAGGGGTTGGGGGTAGGGGAAGATTTGTATTTACTTTCCCTCTAACTACTCCAGACAAATCACCACAACTTCCAAGTTAGAAGATGCTTTTTTCCAATTTTCAGAACATGTGGTATCCACCTAGTACTGAAAATCCAGCTGTGCGCTTTCTGCTTCTTACATCATTGCCAGAAATAAAGATCTTGTAATCAAAACTTGGCTGAAAGTTTGATTGATGTTGCTCGAGGCACACATGAGTCTATCCCATCCTTCTATCACCACTGCAGGGTTTTCAAAAGTAATATTTATTTTCCATTCGAGAAAATAAAAGTATGATTA